GAAGGGCTGTCAAGCCATTTAATCCACTGCAGTGCTGTCTATCCTGGGAGATGGAGGTGATTTCTTCTGCTGGTAGCAAAATGTTCAGTGCTCCAAAGGTGCTCGTAAGAGCAAAGCTCTTTGTAAATCAGCCATGATAAAAGTCTGTTAAGCTAGCTAACCCTGGTAGCAAACCAGAGTTATTAATTTCTTCCTCTCCCTTGAAGATGTTTTGTTGCTCTTCAGAAATAAACACTGCTGAATAACCAAGACTTTTTATAAATAATACACTCCCTCCTACAAGCTGCATGAAATGTTAAAATTCCAGAATGGACTACAAACAGATTCATAAATCTTTAGGATCCATGCATTTCAATACTTCTATTTAAAACTGAAGGTAAAAGGATCACAGTATTTGTTTGCATTTTCCATGCCCTTTGTGCACTTTTTCCTGACCCCAATTTCATGTGTGTAGCAGCACAAAGCGGTGTTCCCATATAAATTGCAATATTTTGTTCCGTCCTTTGGCGTAGCCGAAAGCAAAGAGCAACACAAGACGGCTTTTTTGGCACAACAGGTCATCAAAGTAGTGGAATGTTTCAGTCAAAACTCAAAGTGTGAGACATTGCTGAAAGGCAAGTTGTCTTTCAGGCAAAGCTGAGACCTTTCTTCATCTTTATACATGAGAAGTGTTGCTCTGAAGCGGTTAATTACAATGACAAATATGGCACGCTTTGCTCAGAACTGTACACGAATTGTGCTTGGATTACATACCAGGGAACAACAAGAGCCATATTTCTCTCACAAGCAAGGGGGAGGGGGAAAGTCTGTCATGATGTAGATGAATGTAATCTACTTGTTGTTTATAGACCCAAAGGATCCCTCAGAGCATTAAAAATCCATGTGGTATCCAAGAGTGGCACACTTTGCATTGAGATATGTGATTTAGCTGAAAGCCGTATAAAATCTGTAAAACTGCATGTAGGCAAAGAGCTCCCTACTGCCTGTGCACTCGAGTGAAGCCATGTGTGCTTTTCCTGCACACATGAAAAATAGATGRTCGTAAAATCTGCTTGAGATTCACAAACTTCTGACACAAACACGTGTCCAGGCTAAGTATGCCAACTTTTGCTCAAACCAGGCCTGAAAACACAACAGACCTGAAATAAGCATTGTTCTTCCACGTGAGGGGAGAAATTCCAGCTTCATACACAGCAAATGCATACAGATTGTGTGTCCTTCACTGGTCTTCTGATGAAATTGGTGACAACCCTTCCTTCTGTGTTGGGTCTTTTAACTGGCAACTGGGCTTCCAAGCCTTTTCTGGTGGGGTTTTTTTTGAAGTAGACCCACACTTTTATCAAGAGGAATCACCATGAAAAATGGTGACCCCCCACACTCCATTCTCTTTAGGATTGGCTGGGACCATGTTTGGGCAAGTGTCTTAGGTTAAAGAAATATTTTTTTCACTTTTTTTTTTCCCTTAGGAACTAAGATTAGTGGTGATAGCTTGCAGTAGCTCATGTGCATGTGAACACGTTCTCTCAAGAATTGTACAGAATAGGGTTTGCTTAGTTTTTTTGTTTTGTTTTGTTTTTTTTTTTTAATTCAGTAAATGCGTGTTTCATAAATATACCACAATGTGGTGTCAACAGAGAAGAGGCTAACTCAAACGTCCCTTGTACATTTGGTGGGTTTTGTTCCTAGCAGCTGTAGCCCCTTAGCCCATATTTTTAGTGCTGATTCAAGGAAAACATTGCCCATAAAYATTAGCTTAACTGTAAAAACCATTTTTTCACTGATGTTCTCTACCAAGGTTACCTTTGTAAGGCCTTTGGAGACAGACACAGGCCATAGAGTGTTTTGAAGATAATGATCCATGATCTCAGCTTCAGTTTTTGGATAGACAGCAATGCATGGGAACGGGTGTTGTGTACCCAGTGCTTGTGCTGCTGAGGAGATTTTGGTACACTCATCTGCACCATTTGGCTTCTCCCAAGTTCTGGGAAACTTTTTTGAATTTGCAGCCTTTCCAGCCAAGATATAATACAAGTGTGAATAGCTGAGGTTGTGTAACTCCTCGGCAGCAGAGCATCTCTTGGCCAAGCAACAGCCAGGATTACTCACAGCCATGGCTATGTGGGACTGGGACCATGTGCAGTCTGGCTTCAGGCTCCACTGCCAGCTGCTGCTGCCCAGTCCCAGCTCAAGGAGCAGCCAGGACACACCCTGCCCTCACTCTGAGACATCCAAACAGCTGCTTTTCAGCTGGGAGCTGATCTCCGAGCACGGCTACGCGTGGCATGGCCACGTGTATGGGATGGATGAGCAGCGGTGTCAGCTGTCCTTGAAACCTCTCACGGGCTGTTTGCTATAGCATAAGCATCTCAAAATTGTGCTGGCCTCAGAAAAGCTCTACAAGACAGGGGTTTAACACTCGAGGTATGGTCTGCYCTCATCACRTACTAGAAGGGCTCTTCCAGGGAGRGTTGASATGACTTTCGCTGCTCATCTGGCATTAGAGCCAAACACAAGGAACTGCAGAGGTGGCTCAGCAGCATGACCTCAATGTTCCAGCGAGGAGATGCTGGTTGCAATTTGTACCTCACACCAGCCTAGCACTGCCTGAGTRGTTTACAAGTAGTAGTTTTTGTGTMGTGGTGAGATGGGATGGGCACATCAGGGACTACAAGGCTGTAGATGTCAACTAGCCTAAGCGTTGAAGTATGGCTGGGAATAACGTGTTACTGAGACATTGYGTGTGCAGTGTCGCATTAAGAGTGTAGAATGCTTTGGAGCTAGGAACTACATGAAAAAATGATCATATCTTGGTCGCTATAATTCAAAATGAATTGCTAGAGAGAGTAATTGAGAAAAGGGRCTCGTGGGTCTGGCTGTCCCTTTTCGAACGGACAGGCATATTTTTATCTTTAGAAAATGTTTTTGTAAGTAGAGTTTTCCTATCAACAAGGAAAATCTTTTCAAGGAAAATGCCAGCGCTAGGCAGAGCAAAAACCGTACCACAGTGCCGTAAGGAGGTTGCCCTTCAGACAGTCTCAGGTTCACAGTTTGGGTGTCACGTTGTGGCAATTACAGCACCTCTCGTGGCATTCCAGATCCCCAAGTCTGAGAACAAGTATACAAACAGAGGGGCTTCTCGCTCTCCCCAGGCAGAGCCTGCTGTGTGTGGCTGAAAATCAAGCAGGGTAATTGTCAGTCAGCACCGTGAGCCTGGAGCACGGTGGCTGCGGTGTCATATGGCACTCTGGGGACAACACGGGCCAGAGCCGGGCTGTGCTGCTGGCTTTAATGGCACTCTGTGAATGCCAGGTACACTTGTGGGATCATCCTGAGCATGAGTTATTGTGACAGGAGGGACACGGCAGAGARGGTCTGGCTGCTCGTCTGGGAAAGACTGACCTAGCAGTTTCATTCCCTGTGTGATCTGGTTAAACTGGTCGAAAGATGAGGCCAGCGGTGACTGTGCGACCTGTAGCTACATGGGAATGATGGCAGGTTGGGGTGGAAGAAGGGAGAGAGTAGAGGAAAAGAAGAAAGAGGGAATAGAAACTGCAGRCTTTGCTAATTGCAACTGGGGGAATGTAGAGKAGTGAGACCACACAGAAGAATCAGRGAAGTGGGAAGAAGAAACACRAGGGGAGCAAAAAGATAGGAAAGGAGGAGGAGGACATTTCCCTGGTGAAGCTGTGTGAGTGTGGTACCTGGCCAGCCAGACTAYTTTTGATTTTTAAGCACCTCAGTGATCTGTTGAGCAGAGAGCTGAGTCTTAGCAAGCAATAATGAATGTGAGGGGGGGAAAAAAAAGTTAAAACAAAAAGGAAGAGGGGGTAGGGAAGATAAAAGGAATATGATAGTATATGAAATAACTGAAAAAATGAAGAGCTAAAAGGAAGGAAAAAAATTGATCTGGCACCAGGTGCTCAGCTGGCAGATGGTCTATAAGCCCACAGAAGATGAAAGATAAGATTCAGTGCAACCACTAGCAGGCAGTAAAAATTAGTATTTCCTTTCTGCTTAGATCTTGATTGCTAAGTAGGAAACTGTAGGCACGGATTTGCGTGGATCTTCATCAGAGCTTTAGAACATATTGGAATGTGGAAATTGATACCCTTTAATTGTAGCAAAGGCTTCTGGAGCCCCGGTGGGCAGGAGAGGTCAATACAGATAGCAGCRGGTGGGCAGAGCAGATAGCAGGCATAGGTGTACAGGGAACAAAGGAGGCAGGAGAAAACCTGGTTCAGAGCTCAGGGAGAAGCTAGACAGGAATTAACTGAGCACGAAGCACTCCTTGGCTCCCGTGCACCATGCCCCATTATGAAGGGATAACAAGCAGTAACGCTTGTGTGAGGATTTGTGTGGATGCAGTGAATATGTCAGCCGGCATTTTTAAGGAGCAAGTCCTAGATGTTTAACTTAGGGGTCGCAAAAGAGGTCGTACTTTCGGCAACCGCAAACTTCCAGCAGGGTCCCCTCGCACACATTCGGGGGTCTCCAGGCCCAGAGGGAACCAAATGCTTCTCCCGCCAGCAGAGCCAATCCTGGGGGCTCGGTCATGCGGTGCTGGAGCCCTCGGGGGTGCCGAGCTGCCCCATGGGCGGATCAGGGGGGCGGAGGAGGGGCCGGCCATCCCATCCCATCCCATCCCATCCCATCCCATCCCATCCCATCCCATCCCATCCCATCCCATCCCATCCCATCCCATCCCATCCCATCCCA